AAATACTCACTGACGACATTAGTGAAGTGTGCTGGGGCGCCATCATGATGGAACCATACCTATATCATGAGGGACTTCCAAAGGCACCACTTCCAGCAGCTTTGGTAAGGTCTCTTGGAGAAATGTTAGGTACATATCACCAGTAAGCCATAGAGGTAAGTGATAAGGGCATCCTCCTCATTTCAGAAGTCCTGACGCGTAAACAAAGCGTTTCCGGACATGAGTCTGCTAACAAAATATGATCAGATTGAACCCATCTATCTACCACAGAGCGTTGTAACATATATTTATTTTCACCCTCTATACGCGGGGCACGCGGTAGCGTAGTTAGTTGAGGGACTGTGCTACAAGCTGGAAGATCGCGATTCGATTCCAAATGAGGTAATTGGATTTTTCAATTGACCTAATCCTTCCAGCCGCACCATGACCCCGGGCTCGACTCAACCTCTAACAGAAATGGGTACCAGGAATCTTCCTGTGGGGTAAAGGGCGGCCGGCGCGTCAGGCTAACAACCTCAGCGAATCTCTGAATCGATTGTCTACAGAAAACGTCGGAGCCCCGACGTCTCATAATCCTATGGGCATCCACGGCCTGTTACAGAGGTAGTCCTTTATTCATGTACGTATGTAAGTGTGTAGTATATATATGTGCTTGTGTCAGCTGCGTTCTGCAGTGTTCATATGATCGACTTCATGGTATGAATGTTTCAGCACTGAATGTCACCTCATATTCGCAATATTTTCGTCAATCTGAAAAATGTAGTTGTGCGAAATTATTTATAGAAACTGAGAACTGTATTTATTTCTCAAGACTCATTTTCAACTAAATTTAGGGATGTGATTTTAATAGTGAGTTAGTTCTCATGACTCGTGGTACGCGGGTTCAAACCCGGTGGAGGTCGTGGAATTTTTAAGGGCGGAAAAATTCAGGGAACAAGTCCTCCGGGAGGGACTTTAAGCCGTGGGTCCCGTATCGTAGCTTTACGGCACGTAAAAGAACCTCATATCTCCAAAGGAGGTCACTGAGCCAAATTTAAGGTCATTTCCCGCCCAAAAGTAGTCTCTAACGCCTCTGATAGATGGGGGAAGCATTATAGATACCGCCAAGCCAGTAGAGGCCGAACTCGCTGGCTCGGTCGGGACTGATGGTACGCACCAATATCGGTAGGGTATAGAGACTGGGAGAATATCATAGAGGGAAGCACAATGGACCAATACAGGTCTAAGTGCATGGGGAAACCCACCCTCTCCAATAACTAACTAACTAACTAACTAACTAACTAACTAGTTATTAGTTTGGCCAAATATAAATGGCTTGCTTTCATGACCCAGTACAATTGAATTCCCGACCGCTTATAAGTGAGGTTAGATTACTTCTCGACACGTTTGTGTCTCAAGCAATTAAGAATGGCCCTGAAGGAACCAGTTAGAAATTCTACTCCCATTCTACCACCACAAATGCAGTAACGTAATTAGCATAGGGATCTACATAAAATTGATTTTTGCAGTATTTAACGCAGTATAATGAGGTGAGCTGAATGTCACTTGGAGCGCATAACGATACGAAACAGGCAGAACGGTCATTCATATTAAATGAATGAAAGCGTAAAGTTGCAGTGAATTGTTCACAGAAAAGCTGAAAGGAAAGTTATGTGTGATTTGATGCCCTTGTGGAGTTTACTACTGAGACAAATGCTAAGGTAAGCCGCATACCGGCATGCGTCAAGACATGTAACAGTCAAGACACGATGTTCAGAATTCCTGGCTACAGATGCAGAGGTCCCAGTTTCGATTCCAGACGCTACCAGATTTTCTGAGAAGTAATGGGTTTGGAACGGGGTCCATTCAGCCTCGTGATGATAACTGAGGGGATATTTCACAGAAATAGCGGCTTTGGTCTAGAAAACCGAGATTCACGGCAGGGGGGATTCGTTGCGCTGACCACGTGGCACCTTCTATCCGCTAAATTTGCAACTAATTTCGCCGACAAACTACTGTCGCTCGGTCGGTATAGTTCACTTGCGGACTAAAACCACTGAGTTTGTTTTTTTGGAATATTATAATGTAATGCAACGAAACGAAGAATTTATGTAGGATAACACAGCAGGATGCATTTCTTAAAGAATATTATAATGTGTAATTCTATATTGGACTACAGCAGCAGTTCCCCTCGGACAACATCTCACAGCCGCGACTATCAACGTCAAGGTGTCCTGGTATGTGATGTCCTTCCGTCCGGTGGACAAGTACAAACTTACTTAGCGCCACATCACAGGACTCCGCAATTTTAATCTTTCGACTATCTCTAATCATGCTCTAAGGCAATCGACATCTGGGGTATTAATCCACGAAACAATTGTCGAAAAGAAATGGACTTTTCAATGCATGAGACAATAATATGGCTGTCTGATGCCACTTCATATTGGTTTATACACGAAAAGAAGGTTCCACTCTCTTGCATGTCTACATTCATGTGGTTATTCTTGTTCAAAGCGGATTATGGTGTTTGGTGTTCCGATAACTTCAAAACAATGGCCGTACTGAGGACGACTTCTAAACGTAACGCAGACATCAATACCACTTTACATGAACCAGATGAAACCGGCTAAAGCCACACCAGCACGAAGGCCACGAAGTGTACTGTTACTTTTTTCTGCTTATTACTTTACGTGGTCGATGGTGTGCCAACTTAGAGGGTGTCGCGTGGTCGGCGCAACGAATCCCCACGGCCGTTAATTTCGGTTTTCTAGATCGTAGTCGCTATTTCCTTGAAATATCTCCTCAATTATCCTCATGAGGCTGAATGGACTCCGTTCCAGACCGACTACTTCTCAGAAAATCTAGTAGCACCGGGAATCGAACCCGGGACCTCTGACCATTAGACCACAGAGGCCGTCTAGTTGGCATTTTTTTATATTCGCATAGTGGGGGGGGGGTGGAGTCCAGCTGTGTCCACTCGGCACGGCGGCCACTGATTGGCTTATTGTAGCCTGCATCGGGTGATTATGATGATGGAGAATTTGATGGAATGACGATTGGCAGGGGAAACCGAAGCAATCGGAGAAAACCTGCCCCAGCGCCAGTTTATTCACAACAAATCCCACTTGACCAGACCCGGGATCGAATCCGGGCCGCCGCGGTGAGAAGCCAGCGACTAACCGCTTGAGCTATGGCTCGACCTAGTTGACACTATTTTCGCAGACAAGCGGCGGTCGCTCGGTTGGCATTGTTCGCTTGCGGGCTAAAACCACGTTTTTTTTGGTCCCTGCTGTCATCTGGTTAATATGTCAGGATTTTATATGAAACAGTCTACAGACTGATTATGGAAAAAAGGCAAATAAATTTGTCACTTAATTCTTTTTGTATAGAAACCTGGAGGGATGTGTCAACATATGATCAAGAGATACGAATGAGGGTGATGTCAGCCGTATGTAATCGTAGCCATGACAACGAATAAACAAAGTTGGTTTACGCCACAAAACACACTTCAGAACTCCTCCCTTCAGCTTTACAATTTGTTCACCGTTTAATTGCTACTTTGTAAACATGCTATGAGAGACAGTTGTAAGAAACAGACAATATCACAGCGTAGCTTTTCTGCTATCATAGATATGACAGCGTTATATGAATACTATTAAAGCAATGGAATAAGTTATTTCGATGTTTACGATAATTCATTGATGGACGTAAAAAAAGGATTTTTTACGTTCACTCAAACTAAGTTACATACACGCAGGCCGCGCCATAGCTCAAGCGGTTAGTCGTTGGCTTACCACCGCGGCGGCCCTGCTTCGATCCCGGGTCTGGTCAAATTGGATTTGTTGTGGATAAAGTGGTGCTGGGGCGGGTTTTCTCCGATTACTTCGGTTTCCCCTGCCAATTATCATTCCACCAAATTCTCCATCATCATAATCACCCGGGGTAAGTACAATAGGCCAATCAGTGGCCGACGTGCCGAGTGGACTCCACCCCTTACTAAGGGAATTAAAAAAAAATTAGATACTGGGATTTGAAACTGCAGCTTATGCTCTCCGTACAACTCGTACGAGAACAGTTCCATTTTGATGAACCACACGGAGCCAACATGGAAGAATGTCCACGGGGTTAACGAAAGTGCAATGCTTTCTTGTTACACTGTAGCTGCAGGGGTAGTGAAGCGAAGACATTGCTCTATTGGTACTCACAAAACGTCGCCTTGATTACAACATAAAACCATTCAATATAATAACATTTTCGCTTCAGTTTCTGGACACTGGAGGCGTTCTTCATATCGGAAAACGATAGTTCCCAAATAACATACAGGCTCGTCATAAAAGCGTGAAAACTAACAGCGCTTTCCATTATAACCGCAAGGCATTCTGCGCAAGACTGGTGAATGTACACCATATACGAGCATCATATCCTGCGCAAATGGTTATATTTGGTGTTATCTTCGTAGCAATTATTGATAATTGAGAAAAGAGTTGAAATTTTTTCTTTTAAACCCTATAAAGTGTTCTCTGTCTCCATGTTTTATTCGGTTTAAATTTCACTGAGATACCTGTTGCTCCGTTTCCATTAATTATCTACGCATTGCAGTAAATTCCTAAATTCCGTGGCCTGTAGTCCGCAAGCGAATTATACCGACCGAGCGACCGCGGCTTGTCGGCGAAGTTAGTGGCAACTTTTGCGTATAGAGAGTGTTGCGTGGACAGTGAAACGAATTCCCACAGCCGTTAATCTCGGGCTTCTTGACCGGAGCCGCTATTTCCTTCATATAGCTCCTCAATTATTCTCATGAGTCAATTCCTAAGGCACTCTTAATTTTCAGAGGCATCATTTGTAAACATTCAGTTGATGCGTGCAAATGAAACCGATGACGAACCCAGACTTACGTCGTTTGCCTCAGGAACTGAACTCCGCGATGTAGTACCCTTTTTCGTTTTTGAGTAACTCCGGATAAACAGGGTATAGAGGAGAATATTCGGACCGAAGAGAGATGAAGTGACAGGAGGTTGGAGAAAACTGCCTAATGAGGAGCTTCATAACTTGTACTCTTCTCCAAGTATAATTAGAATTAAGTCAAGGAGGATGAGGTGGGTAAGGTATGTAGCACGAATGGGGGAGATGACGAATGCATTTAGGATATTGATGGGAACGCCAGAAGGAAAGAGACCGCAAAGAAGACCAAGGCGTAGGTGAGTGGACAATATTAAAATGGATCTTAGAGAGACAGGATGGGATGTTATGGATTGGATTGATCTGGATCAGGATAGGGACCAGTGGAGGGCTCTTGTGAACACGGTAATGAACATTCCGGTTCCATAAAATGCTGGGAAGTTCTTGAATAGCCGCACAATTGGCGACTTCTCGAGAAGGACTCAGCTCCATGAATGAGTGAGTGAGTGAGTGAGTGAGTAGCTCCGGATTAAAATCGCGGTTCTGCAGTTAACTGCCCGAACATGAAGTTTTCGTCCAATTCGTTCTGAGAAATCACATATAATGTACTTGAAAGAGCTTTGTTAAATGAACGAAGAATTATTCGTGCTAATGTTCGCTCACAAAGATCCATTTATAGGAGTATAGCCAGATCAGTTACTTACCAATGCGAGAACACTCCATCAATAGCCATGTGAGCTGCATCCCAGTTTTCGGGATTCTCATATTTACAGCGTCGTCCTCCACAAAAGAAAGAACATTGAATGCCGTTTGGAGTGACTCTTCTGATGTTTTCCGAGAGTCTGTTGTAGTTGGAGGGAACATGGTGTTCTTGAAGTTTAATGCCGTAGGACTGGAGACCTGCTGGGACCAGCGAACCAACATCCACTTCTTGGGACATTCTAGTACAGAATAGCAGAACATTATATAGTGGGGGCCCTTAAGGAATAGGTTTAACAACTGAACGAAAATTCTAAAAATTTCCAACAATGCAAACACAGAGCCGATTACAGGGACCGTGCGGTAAGGCCCACCCGGTGTCGGACCAGTTCACCACTGGGATCGCGGGTTCTAATCCAGCTCGGGGCATTGATGAATGCCAGCAGTTTTCTGCACTGGCTTGTGGAGGCGGTGAATTTGTAAAATTTTCAAAGCCTCATGAAAAGTCAAAACAAATTTCCAACACACTAAATACTTACTTACTTACTAGGGCCGCGCCATAGCTCAAGTGGTTAGTCGCTGGCTTCCCACCGCGGCGGCCCGAGTTCGATCCCGGGTCTGGTCAAGGGGGATTTGTGGTGGACAAAGTGGCGCTGGGGTAGGTTTTCTCCGAGTACTTCGGTTTCCCCTGCCAATCTTCATTCCACCAATTGCTCCACAATCACCCTCACCTATCGTCTGGGGCTGGTACAATAGGCCAGAAGCGGCCGCAGTATAAGGGACTTAGTCCCACCCCACTAGCAATAAAAAAACTTACTTACTCATGGAGCTGAGCACTTCTTGAGAAGAAGCCAAATCTGCAGCTACTCAAGAATTTCCCTACATTTTAAGGAGCCCGAAGGGTCATTACCGTGTTCACAAAAGCCTTCCACTGGTCCCTATCCTGAGCCAGAACAATCGAATCCATACCATCCCATCCTCTCTCTGTGAGATCCATTTTAATATTGTCCACCCACCTACGCTTTGGCCTTCCCAGTGGTCTATTTCCTTCTGCCTTTCCCATAATATCCTATATACATTCCACTTCTCCCCCATTCGTGCTAGATGCCCTGCCCACCTCATCCTCCTTGACTTGATCAGTTTAATTATACCTGGCCAGCCCACTAAATAGAAACAGTAAATACTACACAGTTAACTAAACAGCATAACAGAACAGATTACGAACACAGCCATAGAATAGGTAGTTAAAAGAGCAGAGGCACTAGCAGGATGGATTTGCAACTCTTAAATCCATTTGTAAAATTATTTATCGTAAGTTCCTTACATAACTCACATCGTTAGGTAGGAACAAGTGAAATGCAAGTTTTGCATGTCGATGTCCCCGGCCGAACGAGTAGCTGCTTGAGGCTAACTGCTCTGTCTCTACAATTCTTGATTATTATAAAATACACGTATTTGTATTTCCGCATTGAAAAAATTTGAAATATCAAATCCCGTTTGTATGTCATAGTAAATTGTACACTCGGTCGAAGACATTAAGCGGTGTTAAGAATTAAATTGTTTTCATCATATTTCACGCAGTGCATGTTACTTTTTTCCACTGGCTCTACAGCCCCTTAAGGCCTGGCCTCTAATTTTTTCAGTTTCATTATCATTTTACAGACGGTAGGGCTCCTTGGACGAGTGATCAGCTCGTCGCAAGGCCTCTACCTAAACACAGGACAACACAAACATTGAATAATCACATACACACACCAAACAATCATGCCTTGTGTGGGATTCGAACCCACGATCCCGGCTTCCGATTGAGCGAAGACAGTACATGCCTTAGACCGCTAGGCTACTGTGACCGGCGTATAAGTTACTATGAACCTAAAAAATGAATAAAATATTGGGAAGTAATATTAAATGCGTGGAAAATTATAATTAATTATGATACGGGAGATTTTTCCTGGAAAATAGAGGGGACAAAAGAATCACGGCCATATTTTTCTGTTTTTTCATACAATGTATGCAAAAGATAAGATATGACTTGACGTTTCGACTTAACAATTGTTTTAAGCTATTTCATTTTATTTTACGTGGTTTCATTCGTATGTCTTACCGTGGCACGAATTAAATGTTGCGTAACGAAACAGTTTCGTCAACAATATCAAGAATAGATGACTTATACAAAATAATGTAATTTTATTCCCTACCAAGTGCAAATGTGATAAGTATTCTACATCTAAAAATCAACATTCATACCATAGATTGACTACAAAAAAAAATACTAGCTAGTTAATCACACTGAGAACTACAATCCGAGGTGATTGCGAGGATTGCTAACTTATAAATGATATTACTGCGTCATACCTTAATTTTCGTAAACGTTTCTCAGAATTTGATTGAACGAGGTATTCCAAGATACGTGGAAGTATTAAGAAAATACGCTTTTATTATATAACAGACTGTAGCCGTCCGCCGACGTACATCTGCCACGACTGTCGCTCGAGCTTGAGTTCTTTACCCCAGGGGTACAGGTGCATCGGATATGAGAGTGGAACACGCTTCGGGGTTAATAATTCAGGGATCTCCAGAATACACTGTGTACTGAAGTACTAATTTAAAATTTCACAAAGGAATTAATATTTATTTTATTCCTCCAAGCTTACCGCTCCGTCACGCTTATCCCTTGTATGCCAGTCTGCCCCGAGCTCACTGACCACACACGGCACTCCCCAGCTACCCTCCTGTAACTTCCTTTTCAACTGTCCACCTCCTCTCCCTGTAAACAACTGCCCTCTCTTTACCTGTCCCCAGTTGGCATAAAAAAACGAGAAAAAAAAAATAAAAAGAGAAAGCCAAGGGTCGAGCCCGGCATCTGTCCTACATTCGTATTTTTCGAGATGCCCATAAAACTTTTTTAGGTCTTCAAGGGACACAAGTAGAGAATCCAAGACCCTTCCTGGCCGGTCTCGCACAAGGTCAGCCCATGGGTTTATGACACTAGGAGCAAACTGGCGAGGTTAGGGACAATAGTGACACCCTAAGCCTAAGGAGGACAATAGCTGAATTACAACTAGACGGGTCCTGGGATGGTATCTCGCCGGAGGAGCGTCTCTCGTGGTGTTAAACAATGAATTAGTTGTTCGTACCCTTAATTAAATACTTTTGGCGAGGGACGTACGGTTACAAGACTTAGAAAGGCAACTTACACCTTTTTGTGCTCCTTTGTATGATATAATTTCGTTATGAAATGTGAACATCCACAACTATTTATAATCCATATATGTAATCGTACACATACCACGCGCACACACCATATATTATTAACTCCCACACATTTGGTTGATGCATAATTGCATTCGATATTTCTGTTTTGCATTCATCAAGTACCCGGTTCGAATCTTGGTCTGAACACATATGCCCTGAGCTTTCGCGTGTCTTCTCAAACCCTCAAAGAGAGCATTAGGGCAGCATCTTGCTATAGGCTACGACAACTTCTTTCTAAATTCATTGTCACATAATTTCCCATCCGACTTTACGTAAACAGCGGATTGTCAAATTGTCCTCAAACAAACCAAGAAAGAAGCCGAATTATTTAAGGGCATATTTAAACAAATGGGACCCAGCTCGTAGCAGGACAGTCTTTAAGCACATAATCTGGTATTTGAGTTAGGGACAACAGTTACAGGAAGTTACAAAAGATATGACTCCGCTGGTGGTCTCACAGGCACACGCATCCAGCATTTTCGTGGACTCGTAACACGTACCTAACACCAAACCAAAATATACATGCTGTTGCAGGGCAGACTTAAGATGTGAACGAAGTAAGGACAATTATATTTTACCCATTAATACGTTTCGCATAAAACTTGCAGAATTCTGCCTCGAAAATTAATTTTCAAAGTTCAGTTTGGTAATTTCTGTAACCAAAAATATAATAACCTAAAAATCTTATGTAGAGAATATAATTGTACTAGAATACTGTTAGAGTGTAAGATTAAAATAAATTAAAAGCAATCTGGAAGAATAGTCAACAAAATGTAACACTACTGTTTTGAATGGGTATTTGTTTTGCGTTTATAAACGTTCATAACATATTAAATGCAATGATATTGCACATTCAAATACATAACACATGGTATGAATGTATACTTATAGTGTCGATATATTTTTAGTAGGACTCTGTTGGAAGTTGTTTTAATTGTACTTACGTGATCTTTCGAAAGTGCAATTTAAGTTACTTCGGCAGGCTTGCTCTGTTCATTTCCATTACAAACTCCTGCTTCTCCACAGCGAAGTAAACATTATTACACTTTTGATGTTTGTCATATTTATTTTAGGTGAATAACTCGCCATAAACATACCAGCGTTCATCTCGTAATGTTGCTTCGAATATTTAATACGGTAGCACAACCAAATATTTTTTCACGTGTAACGATTAAGCAATGCGTCGAAACTTGACAACCGTACCGCACCAACCACCACAACGTTTATCGTGTCCAGATTGTAGGGGAATGACTATACGAATGCAGTGAAACAGGCATCGGTCGAAACTAAACTGACAGCGTCGGCGCCGTGTCAGAGCATGCGTGAGTTTCTGGATAATACATGTAACAGGTTACCATGAATATAATAAGTAGAACGAGGTTTGAGACATAGCTAAAGCAGTTCTCACTTGTCATCGCCGAAAACACCTGGAATCGATTAAGCCATATTGCACGATACCTCGTTTAAACTCTCTAAGGAGGTTTTGCTGCAGGCGTACCTACGAGAAGTTAACCCTAATGTAATATCCCAAATTGCTCACTACTTCTTCCATGTCTTTTCATGGGTACTTTATTTGAAAGTAGTGCATTCTTAAAAAACACATAATTCTCATCTTACAGATCCATCATTTTCACCCGAAATGGTCGATTTATAATGTTTAAACTGATATGTCCATAAACCATGGCTGCAGCTTCAATATATGATTTCGTAAATTGAAGAATTTTACTTCGCTATTTTCCGTAAATTATTTTGCTGAATGTGATTTTGACGAAGTAGTTGTTACCATGTGGAGCAAGTATGATAAAATGCCTCAATATTCACAATGTTCAGGGCATTCCGAAGCAAAAATTACATGTACCTAGTGAAAAGTTCTAAGTTCTGAGTTTATGCTGTTTTTTAACTAAAGTCATAATTTGTATTTGTAAGTGCTAAATTTGTTAAAATTATCATAAGCCAATCAACTCTCTGGTGCTGCAACTAGGAGGTTTTATTACATGAATACCAAAGCATGCCATTGGATATGATACTAAACCAGTTAAGTTGTTTGCTTCCTCTCACAACCTATTTATCTCAAAATTCATTATACCCCGATCTCCTTTGGGTCTTCCTAGTAATCACCATGCAAGAGCCTCCAGTTCAGAGCTCCATAATCAATCCCCATTTCCTTTAACCAAGATATGTGCATGCTTAGTCCATTATAGCTTCCATGAATTGACTGTCCTAACAGTATTATATGACTTGAACAAATTACAGAGTTCTCAGTTCTAAAAGTATATGTCTACTCCTGACTTGTACCTATTCAGTCTGAATATTTTTCCTTAACAGTTTAATTTCAAATTCTTACACTTAAGTTCTTACTTCATGGTTACAGAAATAAATCATTGCACATATGTGTATTCCTTTTAATACTATTATTCAGTTGTGCTTTCTGAATTTTATTTTGTACATCAGTCATTTCATGATGTTGCCAGTTGCTACAATATATAGCACTGAATGGTAGAATGACAGATGGATTGGGAGAGATTTGGAAGCAAGCACTCATGGTCTAAAGGCATCTGCCTTGAGGGACTGAGCAAAAGCACAAAAATCCTCAGTCAGTATAGCCACTGGCCCATCTGAGATTCAAACCGAGCACTTCCCAAATACAAGCACAAAGCATTACTGCCAGACTGTCTGTTCACTATCTTAGTCCTCTGATGTGCTCATATGTTAGTTAGTTATTGGAGAGGGTGGGTTTCCCCATGCACTGAGACCTGTATTGGTCCATTGTGCTTCCCTTTATGATTTCTACCAGTCTCTATATCCTACCGGTATTGGTGCTTACCATCAGTCCCGCCCAGCCAGCGAGACCGACTCTACTAGCTGAGAGGTACCTATAATGCTTCCCCCATCTACCAGAGGTATCAGAGACTGCTGTTGCGCGGGAAACGTCCGTAACTTGGCTCAGTGACCTCCTTTGGAGATATGAGGTTCTTTTGCGTGCCGTAAAGCTACGACACGGGACCCACGGCTTAAAGTCCCTCCCGGATGACTTGTTCCCTGAATTTTTCCGCCCTTAAAAATTTGAAGACCTCCGCCAGGTATTTGAACCCGCGTACTATGAGTCACAAGGTGGGAACGTTACCTCTAGACTACGGAGGCTGCTTGCTCATATGTTAATATTTATCTATATTTTTCTCCTGAAGAATCTAAAATTCATGTTACATTCTCCTAACAATCTATAATTGTCACTGTTGCATCAAACCCAGTTCATTTAATTAAATGAGTTAATGCCTGGTAATGCAACTGTAACCGAATTAAAATGTTCTCACTGAAAATATGGCAGCTATACATAAAGAGAGTGAATCAAGTGTGGTAACATGACGAACATGACTGACAGTTATGCATGCTGAATGCTGTTACCTACATAACATAAAGAACTGTGAAATGGAAATAAATGAAGCATATAAATGTTGAGCAAAAGGAGTGCTACTCGAGGGGAGGATCTGAAGAAAAACTTCATAAAATCCTAACAATCACAGGTGCAATTTTGAAAGAAAATTCATTACACTCTAATCTAAACAAGCATCGGTGACTTCAAGAGTAGTGTTTAGCTTCAGTGGTTCCATGGCTACAAATAAATTGGTCTTATATAGTATTTGAGAAATAAATAAAAATTGTAACATTTAATTCTTTCTGTGTTGTGTACTTGTATGATATACATTCTACATTTGAGATTTTCTCTTGTGCATTGTTTCTGATATATTCTGTGAGCATCTCCATGCCTATCCATTTCTCATATATTTCTGACTTAGGCTGCACCACGATTAGCTCCTTCGGCCAAACCTATGTCATCTTAGCAATAAACGCCAGTTCAGCTGCAGACCAGACTGTGACAAAGGCCTACAGTTTCTCACCTGTCTCCTCCTCAACACTACAAAAGGCTGTACCTGTTACTATTAAAACATAAACACAGGCTATTTATTAATTACTGCTTCCATTCAATCTGCATAAGTTATCAGCCTAAGTAAAAAAAGTAAAAAGTAAAGCTATCCCTGTACCAGGCCGTGAAGGCCCATAGGGTTGTGAGACGTTGAGGGTCCCACATTATCTAAACAATCGGCACAAAGATGGCAGTAAGGTTGTCAGCCTTATGCGGTGGCCGTGCTTTACTCCCCAGGAAAATTATTTAATTAATTCCTGGTACTCAGTTCTGTTAAAAGGCTGAGTAAACCCTAGGGCCTAGTGCGGCTGGAAGGATCAGGTCAACTGAAAAAATCCAATGACCTCTTTGGGACTTGAACCCGTGACCTTCCGGCTTGTAGCATAGTGCCCCAATGTCAATACATAGCTACCGAGTCTAAGTGATTCCTTATATGGAAAACATACTGTGATTCACACTAGACCTGAATGCAGTAGTGTGTGTGTGACAAGCCTTTGAAATACTATGTAAATCACGGCTCTTTTAAACAAAACAGAGCTCTAATACTTTCTGCATTTTCAGTCCTTATGCATATTTCACAAACTAAAGTCCTGCTAGAGTTTTAGGGAAGTAGGTACTAACAGGACTGATGCTCTCATGTTATTTGTCTTCACTGCAAATAATTGTATCACCTTTCTAGCATTCTATCATTGCACGCTCTAATAACAAGGACTCTCCAGTGCATTCAATTGTTATTGGCTCTGTCATCACAGACATGTTGCTAGGTTCTGAGCTCTGCCAATGGGGACTACTCTGTCAGTTGGGTAAATTCCTGCCTCTATCAGCTAACAGGCTCTTCAAAAAACATTCTGTTACAGGCCAATGAGAGAACAATGTACTTCGACTGTTCCTTGACTGCTCTGCGTATACTTGGCTGTTGGGAACCGGTGTTTGACATTAGCTAGCAATGGATGCCACTGTGAAATTTTTCTAATTCCAAGATTCTGACTTTTATGCATCATGTCATAGTAAAAAAGTAAAACTATCCCTGTAACAGGCCGTGAAGGCCCATAGGGTTGTGAGACGTTAAGGGTCCCACATTACCTTGACAATCGGCTCAGAGATGATAAGGTTGTCAGCCTTACACGCTGGCCGCGTTTCACTCCCCAGGAAAATCATTTAATTAATTAATTTCTGTTAGAGGCTGAGTAAACCCCAGGGCCTATTGCGGCCGGAAGGATTAGGTAAATTGAAAAAAATCCAATGACTTCATCAGGACTTGAACCCACGACCTTCCGGCTTGTAGCATAGTACCTTAACCACTACGCTACCGTGTACCCCCTCATGTCATAGTAACAACAACAATAATAATACTCGGGTAGTGTAGTTGGTTGAGGCACTATGCTACAAGCTGGAAGGTTGTGGGATTGAATCCTGATGAGGTGGATTTTTTCAATTGACCTAATCCTTCCAGCCGTACTATGGCCCTGGGGTCGACCCAGCCTCTAACAAAAACGAGTACCAGGAATCTTCCTGGGGGTAAAGGGCGGCTGGCACATAAGGCTCACAACCTCACCGCCATCTTCAGTCGAATGTCTAGAAAATTTGGGAGCCTCGACGTCTCACAACCCTATGGGCCTTCATGGCCTGTTATAGGGATGCCTTTACTTATTTACTTTTCAATCAGAGTTCATTCTCAGATGTGACACTGTGTAGCTAGGTAACATGTAGGTAACAGTTCCTTCAAGCCACTGGTACATATGTACCAAACTACACAGTATCACACCCCAGAATACAACAACCTTAATATTTACCATTGTGAAAACCTCAAATCTTAACCATTGCAGTTCACAGGCAGGATGCTGAGGTCCTCACTGACCTGAGTGCCCTGCTTTTTTTAATCAACAATATTTCTACTGATATTAAATTTTAACACATAAATACTCTGTCACTAATCTTAAACCAAAAAGCACACTGCAAACATATTCCATAATGTTTCTTTGGATATCAGGAGACAAAAATTGAAATACTGCCAAATTGGAAGAGATCCTTTAATGACAAAATCAGGTCCTGCCTGTATAAACATTACAGTTAACAAATACAATATTGTAAATTTAACAAATGAAATATACACTTGTGACATTAACATAGAACCAAGAGAATGCTGGTGGCATGCAAAGTTCTGATGAAACATGCTGCTAGATCATACACTGAGAAAGATATATTATTTTCAGTGGTTCATTATGGGTTGCAATGTGATGCTACATAGTTTGGTACATACATCAAGGTCTCATCAGCCTTCCTTCTTTTCTGCAGACAACTATTTTGTGTATGTCGGCTCTTTTACCAGTAATTAATAAGCTTTACTGTCCAATATGTTTATTCAATTTCCAAATTTGACTGAATGTAAATCATTAAAATCCCAAACAATATTACAGGATATTGAATGTATGAGTAACTCCATGACCTGTAGTCTGCAAGCGAACTCTACTGAGCGACCACCGCTTGTCGGCAAAGTTAGGGCCAACTTTGGCGGACAGAGGGTGTTGTGTGGTCAGTGCAATGGATCCCCACGGCCGTTAATCTAGTTTTCTAGACCGGATCTCCTATTTCCTTGAAAGAGCTCAATTATCCTCATGAGGCTGAGAGGACCCTGTTCCAGACCCATTCTCAGAAAATCTGGTAGTGCTGGGAATAGAACCTGGACCTCTGGATCTGTAGCCAGGAATTCTGACCAGTAGACCACAGACGTGGTCAAATGTACAAGTATTTACTCAAAAATATATTCGTAGCCTGATATATTATCTACACACAAACAATGTGAAAGTGAAATATAAGAAGCAGCGTCTACATTTTCAGTCCCCTGATGAACCTAAGGCATGATACAGGCTTCAAAGGTTTTGATGAAAATATGAACGGAACAAGATGTGAACATTTTGTGACAGCAGAAATATAACTGAAACTTCTGGGTGACTATATCTTATTTTGAAGAAGGAATACACAATTCTGCAAGAGACTAAGCTCTGGCTGCAAATGTTACAATGGAAAGCTGTAGTCATTATTCATACCCAGGGCAGTAATTAACCAACATCTCTTTAAGAAGCAATGTCTCACTTTCTCTATTGAACTGAGCATGTCACCATCAGTAGAGTATAAATAAACTGGAAACAAAATATGAAATACAATCAATCGACTTTATTCTGGTGATATATGCTATCTGCGGAAGGTCCTGCCAAACCCAAAATTTCATTTTCTATGTTGGCCAGTGCCCAGTGATGTTCACAGATTTCAAGAGCTTCCCATTCTGCCTTGAAAGCAGCTTTCGGATCCGGAGGCATTGCCATTGCTGCTCCAGACATCTGATCCTGAAGATGTCGAGCCTGGTCAGCAGCTGAGAACGAATGACAAACCGCTGGTTATATAAGAATCACCATTAATTAAGTTCTTGGATTGCTACACTGTGTGAATGCGCGGTGATGCTGGCAACGTTTTGGGGGTATACACTACCTCCATCTTCAGTGTTGAAGTGTGAAGGTTGGCGAGTTTCTACATATACACTACACAGCATTATTTGGAAGAGGAATAGTGGTAAGGGGGGAAGACGGGGTGGGGACTGGGATGCCAGTGGGGATAGTGGACCAGGAAAACTGTGCAGATGGCCCTTATATGGGCCCAGCTGTGTATCAAAAATCCTCCAATCTCATCTGTGACTGATGTTTTTGAACAGTCATTCATTTAAGAAATGTTATGCACAGTGAGAAATTGGATGGACAACTGCCGGAAAACGTTACCAATAGAATTTTGTGCCATAACACAGCCTGGAATTAGCCTAGAGAAAATAAGCAAATCAATGATAACTGCAAGACAGAAACAGAAACTGCCTGATCAAAATGATCAGTAGAAACTGGTCTACAAAGTGTACACTGAAAACTGGAAACAGCATACTTATAAAACAAAAATACAAATTGCTTGGCTTTAGTCCGCAAAGTGAACTATACCGAGCGACCGCTGCTTGTCGGAGCAGTTAGTGCCAACTTTAGCAGATAGAGAGCGTCGCGTGGTCAGTGCAACAGATTCCCACGGCCGTTAATTTCGGTTTTCTAGATTGAAGCCGCTATTTCCTTGAAATAGCTCCTCAATTATCCTCACGAGGCTAAGTGGACCCCATTCCAGACCCACTACTTCTCAGAAAATCTGGTACCGCCAGGAATCGAACCCGAGACCTCTGGATCTGTAGGCAGGAACTCTGACCATTAGACCACAGAGGCGGTCACAGCATACTTATAATCAAGTATTATTCTCACGTCAGTGAATTTAATCATACCATTGTTTTCACCAAGGACAAGGGTGTAGATACTGCGCAAACCAAACACATTGAGAAAATACCAAGATGCAGAGGAAACCCAAGCAGCATCAAGAGTAAGAAGCTCAATTCCTCTCTGCAACATTGGCTTGAACCTCAGTGTCAGTGGAAATGGGACTTTTGCTGCAAAAACCAAAAGAGAAACACATATAGTTCATTACAGTACTAAAACATCAGAGTTTACATACATAAGCCAGTTCACTGACAACCAACTCCTTAAATTCTAATTTCTTTTCTGCAGTCTATACACTTGGTCATCGACTTAAGACCGACAGGTCGTAAGTCAATCTGGTCGTATGTTGGCCATATATTTTCAACCTTTCTAATCTTTTTATCATATTTATAATTTATTTTAAAAAACTTTTAAATTGTAATCATCTTTTATTTTTCATTTTTTTTTGTGGTCATAGGTGCAGCCGGTCGTAAGTCGATGACTAAGTGTATATATACCATTTGAGTAGATTTCTCCAACAAAATTTTACACCCATTTTTAATCTCTTCTATTGTATACACTGGGATAATACCATATCTGATCCATTACTCTGATAATTAAACATCTTTTCAAGCAGAGACTAACTTTATGTACCTCAGTATTCCACTATCAGTTTAAATCAGTTTTGCTGGAATCAAACACATACTTGATAAAATGTTTTAATTCCTCAGTGGCATGGGGAACTTAATTAAAATTTGGTTGTGAGGCTGACAGTTCAGGCTATCTAAATTCATCAGCTACAAGAATATTTAGGAACTTACTGAAATGATTTTCCCTGTGTTTATAACTCCATGAAAATCCACAAGTACAAGGTGTGGCAATAAAGAAACCGGATTCATGCTCTAACCCTTTATTAAAAAAAAATCAGACAGTCGAAATGTTATCCCCTTCAATGTAGTCCCCTCCCCGATCCCTACACCGCTCCATGCGAATTTTCCACTGTTGGAAGCAGTGCTGCAGGTCATCTTGTGTTATGCTCTTCAAGAGTTGCGTCGCTTTTGCTTTCACTGCATCCACGGACTCGAACCTGGTCCCTTTCAGCGCAGACTTGATTTTTGGGAAGAGAAAAAAGTCGCACGGTGCTAGGTCCGGAGAATACGGTGGATGTTCCATCACTGGAATGTT